AAAAAAAAAAAAAGAGTTGCATCTAACCTAAACCAGCTAACCAGCAGACGCTGTTTCGTCCCATTTTTCAGAAGAGGAAATCGAACCTTACAGAGGTTGGGGAGCCAAACTTGACACCCAGTAGCTGACGCCTTCCTTGCTTCAGGGCCCCGACGCCCGCCTATCCTTCTCTACCCTGGGAGGCCAAAGCACTAGCGGCCCTTTGCTTCTCATGGGGTGGGCAGCGCCCAGCGCTCACTCACCCTTGTGACAGTGGGACAGGAAGTAAGCACGCGCCCCCAGGTTCTCCCTGTCGAAGCGGTCTATGGAGATGGTGGGATACTCGGCCATCTGTCCCCCGAAGGAACTCATAGCGGCGGACAATACGCACTAGCTAGCCCCAGCGCCCGAGCCGGGCCGAGCAGACCGCGCCGCCACTTCCGGAAGTCAGCGCGCCGACTCGCCATTGGCCAGCCGAGGCCCCGCGGCCCAATGACAGCAGCTCTGTGCTTGGGGGCGGTGCCGTGGAAGAGCTCCTCCAATCCCCGCCGTCCGCCGGCTACCGTGGGATTTTAAACTCCGGGGCTGCGCGCGCGCGCTCTCTCTGCCCGGAGCTGGGTGGCCGCCGGGGCGCGGGGTGTAGAGCGCGGGCTCTGCTTCCCGGGAGAAGCCTCCGCAAGAACGGTCGGAGGGTTGCCTGTCGTGCGTTGTCTGCTTTTGCGGAAACGGAAGCAGCTACCAGAGCTGGTTCCCCGCGCTGACGCGAGGCGGGGTGCGCTTTCGCTGAAGAACCAGACTGTTCCACTGCCTGCTTTTTCGATTCCACTGTCTCACGTTTCCCATGGAAATCGGAATTTCCACTTCGTGCCAGAGCCATGTCACCAAGCCCAAACTCGCTGCCACCAGTCAATGCTGACTCACAGCGACCCCTTGGAGGTGTTCTGGACTGTAACTGTTTAAGGGAGTAGCTGGTGGTTTTGAACTGCGGATCATGCGGGTCGCAGCACAACGCCACCAGGGCTCCTTATAAGCATGCTGTTAGGTGGCATTAAGTGGGTTCAGACCCCGCGACCCTCTATACAGCAGAATGCAACAAAGTGCGGGCTCGCGCCACCCTCATAATCGATGCAAGGTTTGAAACCATTGTAGCCACACCATCTCCGGATTTCCTCTTTGTTTGACCTACTTACCAAGTATGAAGCTCAAGAGTATTAGTCCCAAGAGGACTTATTCCTGGGGTTAGTTATAAGGAAAACCTCACGCTGTGGGCCACAAGGCCGGCTAATACCCCAGTTGGGCTCCTTAGAAATCCCAGAGCTTTGTTGATTTTTAACAAATTCATATTGAATATCTAAATATTAGCTATAGCACTAGCTATAAATCCTTTTGGGAAATCAACTACAGGGTGTGTTTTTCTTAACTTTATGTACCTTTAAGTGATTGTCAGTATAAATAACTTAAGGAGCCTGGTGGTAAAGTCGTTGAGCCCTAGAGGACAAGTCAAAAGGTCAGTAGTGCAAACTCACCAGCTTCTCTGTAGGACAAAGATGTGACGATCCACTTGCATAAAGATTTCAGGGTTGGAAACTCTATGGGGCAGTTCTACTCTGTCCTGTGGGATATTTATGAGGCACCTAAACTTGACAGCGGTGGGCTTGTTTGGTTGACTTTGGTTACTATTTTCTTACAAGGAATGAAGACGTATTAGAAATTAGACAACTAGATATGGCAATATGCTACAATAATATTGAGAAGTTCGTCATAAAAACAAGACGCTGTACTTACTACTGAGGGTTAACAATTTTTAAATGCAAGATGTCCAAATGCCTAAGACTGCAGACATCTTCAGTTCGCTTAATCTTAAAAATCTGATTTCGGTGTTGGAAGAGGGTGAGAGGAAAGTTGGCATAGGATTTAGCAGACACATGTGTGGATTTATTCAAGTTAGCATCTCCAAATCTCATCCAGGGACTACCAATAGTTGTTAGATTTTAGAGGTCTTTGTTATTGTTTGTGTGGTCTTGGTGAAGTTACTTAACCCCTCTATAGCTAGATTTTTCTTTTTTTATATATATAAATTATTTTATTGAGGTCTCGTACAACTAGATTTTTCTTATCTGTAACATACAGATTATAATAAAACCCACACAAACGATGGATTAAGGAAAGTGCTCAAGCACACAGAAGCTACAGTTAATTACAGTACATTTTTAAATATCGAAGAACCCTGGATGCCCCCAAACAGTTTGGGGCCACCTACTAACCTAGATGTTAGCAGTTGGAACCCCCCAATGGTGCCAGAGAAGAAAGGATTGGCAGTCTGCTTCCACAATGATGACAAGCATGAAGTCCCTCCGGGGCAGTTCTGTTCTGCGCCATGGCATCACAGCAATCAGCATTGTTTGACATCAACAGGTTTGGTGAGTTTAGTAAGCGCCAGGGACAGGGCTTCAAGGAATCAATCAGCTATGCTCCTCCAAGAGCTTACAATATGGCAGAAGTGGAAACCCTTGAAAACACATGCAAGACGTTTTATAGATACTTCAACTTGTGCTCAAGAGCTCTGGTGGCGCTGTTGGGTAGACATTGGACTGATACCCTCAAGGTCAGTGGCTCAAACCCACCAGCTGCCCCTTGGGAGAAAGATTAGGCTGTTTGCCCTCATCAAGATTTATAGCCTTGGAACCCAACGGAGCAGCTCTGCTCCGCCCTAACTGTAGCTCCGGATAGTCAGCCTAGTCAGCAGTATGAGTTCTGGTCCTGTGTGCTGCGGTGCAGTGTGAGGACCCAGGAGAGAACTTGATTTAGCAAGGAGAATCTTAATAGTGAAGGAGATTTGGGCTCAGTCGAGACAAAAACTGTTGCAGTCCCTGGGATAAGCTTTTATTCCGTTTGGAACCACAAGGAGTGGCTTTTAACAGACAATAGGGCTCAAACGGAGGCAATGAGGACTTGTAAGGGAAGCTGATGCTGAACCAGGTAAGAGCAGACCAAGACAGGCTTTTACAGCAAGCCAAGAATCTTTCATTTTCAAATTTTAACTTGAATGTCAGTGGGAAGCCTCATGGGGCTTTTGTTTGTTTTTCTCTGTTAGTTTTGTTACTTCAGTTTATTTTATTGTAAATTAAGTTGTGGTTTACATTTCAGATCATTTTTTGGTACCTAACAACTTAAAATAACGTATCAAACCGCCCAATAATTTGCCTTGCCCTACCCGCCTTTTCTTTCCCTCTTCTGGATCTTCCCCATCACCAAGTGAACACCTGTCTCCCCTCTAGCTTCCCCTTCCTGTCCTTCCCCTCCCACCCCTAGTAACTATAAAAGGCTATTTCTTTGGGTATGAAAACCTTTATCATGATTCTTTCTTCTAGAAATAAGAAATGGCAGGTCAGATTAGTTATATTACTTTAGCACCTAATGTGTTGTAGGCACTGTTAGAAGAATTTACGGTCCAACCAGATGTCCGTGTTTGTGGATACTGCATTCTACTAACAGAGAGACAACAAATAACCTACTAAAAGGCCATATTCCTATAGCCCCGGTGGTACAGTGGTTACAGGCTGGGCTGTGATCTGAAGATCGGCAGTTTGGTACCATCAGCTGCTCTGCGAGAAGGGGCTTTGGGCTCCCGTCAGTCTGGGAAATTCACAGAGACAGGTCTACCCTGTCCAGAAGGGCCACTCTGAGTCAGCATGGACTTTGGTTTTGATTGTTGGGACCTGCCATCAAGTGTATTCCGACGCATGGCCATTCGTGGTGATAAGTGCTGTCTTAATGTCCTATGGCTGCCATAGCAGCGTACCACAATGTTGGTTTTAAGGAAATTTATTTTCTCACAGTTCTGAAGACGAGATGTCCAACGTCAGGGCATCGGCTGTGTTGATTCTGTCTGAGGACCTTGAGAGAAGAACTGTCCCCTGCCCCTCTCCTAGTGTCCAGTGGCAATCCATGCTGTGTCTCGGCTATCCATGGGCCCATCTGCTTCCATCAGCACATTTGACCCCTGCCCATTTCTGCTTCACCCTTCTACGAAACACCACTCAGCCAGGGCTCCGATGAGGAACATCCTGTGCAGCACAGGGGTGGGGGAAATCTGCGGTTTACAGTGGGAGCCCTAAGTCCATTTGAGCGTGGCATAACTGTAGACTCTACTTGAGTTCTTTTTGTCCATTAACCCACCATGTGGGTGTGTCCACAATGAGTTCTCAATACTAGCAACATTTCATCTGAAAAGCGGGGGAACTGGTGGTTCTGACTCAGGGCTGCATGGTCACCCCTGACCCTAAGCACCATGTTGCCAGGTGTTCAAAGCCCCACAAGCAATCCTGTCTGCATGTGTAATCTGAAATTTTGGACACATCCCAATCATAGCCCTTTTCTCGATTCTATAGTCTCACCTGCTGCTGCTAATCATGATTTTGTGAGCATTTCATTTGCTCACCACCCACTATATTAGCCCCATCACTGTGAATTATTTGGACTCCAACTTGACCTTGAGCTGATGGTTTCCCCTGTGGGGATAATTTGTCTTTGGCTCATCATTGTCCCATTTAAGGCTTACTAAAGGGTGTCTATTGACTCTGTTTGAATTTGGGGTGATTTTCTCCCTAGAACAAACTATAACCACATTCCACTTAACTCATAACAAATGAGAAATCCCTGTTTCTGAACCATGTTACAGGAGTTAGGATTCCAACATTGCTTTTGCATATATACAGTGCAGTCCATAACCAGTGTTAGGGCAACAAGGAGACCTTAGACCAGTGGTTCTTCACCTTCCTCATGCCACAACCCTTTCATACAGTTCCTCATGTGGTGGTGACTCCCCAACCATCAAATGATTTTCGTTGCTACTTCATAACTGTCATTTTGCTACTGTTATGAATCGGACAACCCCTGTGAAAGGGTTGAGAACTGCTGCCTTAGAACATAGTAAGGGCAAGCCACTGGGAAGTCTGCTAAACTGCTTAAATTGTTGAATGCAACAATGATGGTCTGATATGTAACCCCCACCTAATTCACAATAAAAAGTTAAAAAAGAAAACATATTAAGGGGGATGGAGAGCATGCTGGGGAACAGGGCAGAGAGGCAGGTTGCAATTTTAACAGTGACTAGATGAGGGAGGTAGCCAAGCAGGTACCTGGAAGAAGGCCATTCCAGAAGCAGAGCAATCCTGGAGAACAGAGCAAGAGAGGAAGGACTTATGTGCAAATGTTGCAGGGTTTTGCTCGCCCTATAAAGAATGTGAGTTTTGCTCAGGGTAAGATGGGGAGTGATGGCAGGGTTTTGAACAGAGGAGTAACATAACCAAACTTACGTTTTAAGCAGAGTATACTATTGGGTTTATAATACACCACAGGGGAGGAAAGGATCCCTGGTAGTGTAGAGGGTTTTGCTGGGGCTGTTATTCGTAACTCCAGCGGTTCGAACCTACCAGCTGTTCCAAGCGAGAAAGATGAGGCTCTCAGCTCCCAAAAAGCTTTTCAGCTTCAGAAATGAGAAAGGGCAGTTTTACTTTGCCCCATAGGGTTGGTGTGAGTCAGCATCAACAGGATGATGATGAATTGAGACAGAGAGATAAGGAACGTCTATGGGAGGTACCTGCAATCACCAGATGAGAAAAGAATGGTGGTGTGGATTTACATAGGGGAATTCAACCAATAGGCTCTGTTGGTATTTTGAATATAGAGACCTGCCTCCTTTCATTGTGCTTTGCTGTATAACTTTTCAGAGTCTGTGCTTTTTACAGAGTGAAGATTTGTGGCAGCTCTGCATGGAACCAGCCTAACAGCATTATTTTTATAACAGCATATGTTCACTCCATGTCTCTGTCGTGTTTTGATCATTCTTGCAATATTGCAAGTGTTTCCTTCATGCAATTGCATACTAAATAGACTACAGTAAGGGTAGACATAATTTCTATGCGGGCACCTATGCATTCAGAAACCAAAATAATCCATGTGACTCTCATCATTGTGACAGCCCCTTTAGTATGGTCTGGAACAGAACCTACCTGATCTTTGAGATCTGCCTGCAAAGGATAAGTAAAAGAAAGGATCCAAGAGGATTCCCCAACTGAAATGGGGAAGACTGGAAAAGGAAGGTTTCAGTAATTATTTAGGGAGGAGTCAGAAGTGCCATTTCAACAATCCAGTGGATGCTGCATTTGAAAGGGTTAGAGATGCATCCGAGATCAGGAAATGTAGACATATATTTGGAACTTGCCAGAAAAGGGTATAGTTTAAGTACAATAACTGTCTTGGAAGGAAGTACTAGAACAGAATGCTCCTTTGAAATAAGCTTGAGGAGACATTGTTTGGGACATGTTCTCAGGAGGAACAAAACTCAAAACCAAACTCACTGTGATTCTGACTTGTAATCCCCCTAAAGGACAGGGTAGAAACCCAGTGAGTTCCTAAGGCTCCAAATCTTCATGAAAGTAGAAAGCCTCATCTTTTTCCTGCGGAGCAGCTGGTGATTTTGAACTGCTTAGCTTGCAGTGGGAGCCCTGCAGCGGCCACCATGTCAGTGGTGTAGTGGTTACACATTGGGCAGTTATCTGCAAAGTCAGCAGTTCGAAACCATCAGTTGCTCCTTGAGAGAAGAAACGAGGCTTTCTTTCTTTTTTTACGACTATTACAGTAAAGTTTATTCTGTAGGATAAAGTACATTGTGCATAATTTAGCAAAGGTCAAATACTGTTACAGAAAACATTTAGCACCTGCTGTATTTTGAGGTGTGGGCAGATCGCGACCTTCTCGGGCAGCTACATCTTAACAAAATGACGACACTCCCGGGAGGCCCACGAAAACTTTAACTTTTAAAACGCTATGAGACGAGTGTTACGAGTGTCCTCAAGAGTTACAATCTCGGAATCCCACAGGGACGGTTTTACCCTGTCCTCGTCACTGTGAGTAGTCAGTGAGTACCTTCAGTAAGCAGCCCAAGGCATAATGCATGCCCACTACACAACCAGGGCTCCCCTGGAGGGGGCACGCCCTGGAACAAGACATCTCGCTTTGCAGAGGGTCAACAAAACAAGGAACGTCTCCCAGGGACACACCGAGGCTGCCGTAAGTAGGTAGCGTTCTTCTTGTACCCAGGGGAAGCGAAAAAGGATCGATTTCATGGCACTCAACCACATCACGACCGCAAAGATAATATGGAGGGAGGTTTACCAATTGCCAGACTCTGCTTGCCTGGTCCACTTAAGTCTAATAAGAGAGTTCAAAGTAGGGTGGGGACGGGGGACTTGTACTACCAGGGACCCGAAGTGTGATGGCCACTCGCTTTCCTAGGGAATTGTTTCACGTCAGCAGCGACCCTTTGCAAAACCACCCCCCGGAAACGCAGACCACTGGCGCCACAGTCGACCTTCCCGCCCCACCCAGCAGCCCTCGCGCGAGCGCGAGCGCACTAGGGGGGGCGGGGCGCTAAGGCAGCGTCACTGCGTTGCTAGGAGACGGGTGGGTCGCATAGGCCTCGACCGTTGGCTTTTCGCTCGTCCAGCCCAGGGATCCGGAGTGTAGAACGCGCGGGCCGGCCCCTCCCGCCCGGGCCGGTGAAAGCTCCGGGCAGGGGCGCCTCTGGTCGGCCAAGGTCGTCGAGAAAGGATAGCCACGGAACCCTGGACCCCAGGTTTGGGCGAACGCTTGGTTTTTAGGGCCCGCCCCTCCGCCCCGCCCTTACGCCTGAGCGGGCCCCGCCCCGGAAGCTCAAGCGCCGCCTCTTCCGCCCGCCTTTTCCCGGCTCCCTCCTGGACCCTAACCAAGGTGGCAGAAAGAGGGTTTTAGGGGCCCGGAAAGGCGCGTCAGTCCGCCGTGGGGCTGTCGAAAGCAGTGGATTTATGCCGACTTGTACATTCGAAGCCTAGCTCAAGAGGGCATATTTGGACATTTGTTTTTGCCTTTGACCTGAACCCAATTGGGAAGGGGAGTTTATTACCAAGACCCAGAGTTGTTTAGCTGCCATTGGCCATGATTACCTGGGACACCTGGCGCCCTTGGCATAAGAATACGTTAGGGAAAACCACGGAAGATAGACTTTCATTTGGAAAAGGAGATGAAAGCGCTTTTACTAGAGAGAAAGCTAGTTTTACAAGGTGGGGAATTTGGAGTGGCTGGGTACATCAGGTACCTATTACATTAGAATATTTTTCTCTTAGAATTGCCAGTTATTTGAGATTTGGAGGTTTTTTTGGTCAAACCCTAATGCTGTATAATAAAAATCTGATTTCACAACCTAAGACACATGGATCTTTCAAAGAAAAATGATTTTGTCATTTCCTGTTTCTACAGATGAAAATAAAGCGCTTTTCTGAAAGCATTTTAGACCAGTTATTTTATTGCCAACAGTCCATTAATAAGACACGACATTTCAGAAGTCCTGACTTAGTAACCAAATTATCCCAGAATCTCGGGGATAATTCAGGAATTGTAAATTAATCTGCCCTAAAGTTAGCTTCATTTTGTATATTCTGATAAATTGAAAGAGTCAGTTGCAGCTCATAGTGACCATGTAGGACTGGTTAGAACTGCGCCTTAGGCCTTCTGGGCAGTCATCTTCATGGGAGCAAACAGCCTCATCTTTCTCCTGTGGAGCAGGTGGTGGGTTTGGACTGTCAGCCTGACTTAGGGGTCAGCATTTAACCTACTCCATCATCCATGTTCCTGCGTTAGTTCAGAAAGAAAAGAAAGACTTTTGACATGTCAGATATATTTAGAAGATTTGTTTGTTGTTGTTAGGCGCTGTCAAGGTGATTCTGGCTCGTATCAACCCTATGTAACTGGTCTTGTGCCAGCCCTCACAATTATGTTTAAGTCCACTGTTGCAGCCAAAGCTGCCAAGAAAGATACTGATTTCCCCAGACGTCCTACTAAATGCAGCATATTTTGCTCTTTATTAAAATGTAACATTTTTATATGTAGATTTGATAGAATGGACCTGAATGTGCTAAATGGTTACAGAATGATAGTCAATAAATACTTTAAAAATTAAAAGAAGAAAAATCTTGATTATGTACCAGCTTAAAGCAAAAAGGCCTTGGGTTAAAATAAAAGTGAAGATAGTATTACTACCTTTGGAAGATATACTGATGTGTAAAAGCACTTCAACCGTTTTTTGTGTGTGTGTGTATGTGTGTGTGCCTGTATGGATCAGCAGGATGTACAACAGGAGTGCTAGTGACAGAGTAATTAAGTACGTGACTGGTAAATAAAAAGTGTGCAATTTGAACCCGCCAGAGAAAAGACTTGGTAATCTCCATACAAATGTATAGTTTACGAATCCCTGTAGTAGCAGATCTACTCTGTCCTATTAGGTCGCTATGCATTGAAATGGGCTTAATGGCACACAAGACCACACCACATATCTTGAACTCCTTTATTGGTTACTGCTAGTATACTGTGGGATGTCTAGTGTGGCATAGTGGATTGCGTACTGAGCTGCTGACCACAAGGTCAGTGGTTCAAACCCATTTGCTCCACTGAAGAAAGAGAGAGCTGTCTACCCCTGTCAAAATGTAAAGCTTCCGAAGCCCAAAGGGCTAGTTCTGCTCTGACCTAGAGGGCCCACATACACGCGATGGCAGTGAGTTTGTTTCATTTTTAGTATATTTTGTAACAAGGAAGCCATTAACTCCCATATTAAAATGAATGTAAGCAAAGGTCAGGCATTTTACTGAAACAAAAATAGCACATTCATGATTTTGTCAGGTATTCCAAACTTTACTTACATTTGTACAACAGCAATTAATTGTCTTGAACACACAACATGAGTCTGCACATCAACTAATAAATGAGGATTAAAACTTCAGAAGAGCCAGTTGTTAAAAATGTCCTCCTTTTTCTTTTAGTTCTGAATGATTTATATATTGGGTTTGTATTGCAAAAGTGAAAACAACCCTAATGATAACATTTACTGCGTTTATCACAATAAGAACTGTGTGCCTCAAGTCACTTCATTGAAATCTGGAAGTCAGTCCAAACAATTGTGGGAATTATGGTTCCTGAATAGAATGGGCATGCCATAGTCTTTAGCTAAATGCAACAAAAATCAGGAAGGGGTGGAGGGACCAAAAGACAATTTCCTTATTTTTCATAGAAAAGGGTCTGTGTGATTGAAATGTGGAGTTCACACAAATGATTCTCAGCCTTCCCTAGTTCATTGTTTTTCATTAGCCCTAGGGAACTTTGAGGCTATCTCGACCATATCAGGGAAGTTTATCTGAAATGCAATTCCATTGGCTTAGCTTCCATTTTCTTTTCCTTTTTTCCTCAATTAAATCCTGGTAAGGCAAAATTTATATTTCTTAAGCACTTGTTGTCAACCCCACTTTTCTAAGTCTAGCTTTGTAAAGAATAGGGTAAACCCCCCTTTTCTAAGTCTAACTTTGTAAAGGATAGAGTAAACCCCCTTTTAAGTCGATCCTTCCAACTCGTCATGTGTTGGGCCTGATGTTCACCTTGTGATGGGTGAGCATTTCTGATGGAGAGGATGACCATCTTGCCATCTTTTCTCTCCTGTACATCAATGTATTTCTTGCCATAATGAACTTTTATCACTAAAAGTTTATCAATAAATAGAAAAATAAGCTTATTTACAGAAACTACTTTATAAGGTTGGACTTTAATATGTTTCAGTCAACACAAATGTATTTT